TTCCCAAGAAAGGTTTGGGGGTTTTCAGTAGGCTTAAGTTTTTCTTATAATGTATAATATCTCAATTCGAGATTAGAATATAAAATTTGCGTGCTGGAATCGCGCAGACAGCAAATAATTTGAATATAACGTCATATATTTTACAAGAGATAGGTGTCACCTGTCACGTACAATATTAATTTAAAGTTCTAGTGTATAATATGCGTATATGTAACTATATATGTAGGCATATAGTATGATCCCTCGATTATGAGTGCCTCGATTACTTGAGATTTGATTCAACGAGTTGCAGCCACCAGAACGCCAGCAATTCCTTTGAAGCAATCCCTCGATTAACGAGTTTTTTACGAGCCGACCTCAATATGTTTTTAACTTGCATTTGGCGGTCCCACCAGCTGTAGTAGTCTGCCAGCGTACAGTAGTGGTTCTGGGGGCTTCCCATTCCTTACTATTTTAGTATCAAAGGCGTTTATACAATTCAATAATTTTAAAAAGTTTTTATATTAAATTTTCTAGTCACTTTAACAGACAATGAACTATAATTGAGAGTAATGAAACTAGTTTTATGCATGCCATCAGCCTCTCAACACACCATACAGGCATCCTTCTTTTGTGTCTTTTCAGTGAAACCTGCTCCCCTTTGAGACTCTCTTCAGCCTAGCGCTTTTTTCTGTGTTTACAAGCAAATTGGTCATTTGGGGAAATTTATTTTTATATTGACAATATATAACGCCAGTGCAGTGTTAAATTAAAGAAAAATATTCTTTATTTACAGCTATTAAACTTAAAATATCATGTGTTGACATTGTTTGAATCAGCATGGGTCCAAGAGATCGAAAAAGCGATTTCAATCCAAGTAAAGCAAAAATTATTAAGAAACACAGAAGAAGGCATTAGAATTCGATGTGCTAATGTAAAGAATACGACATGTTGACATCAAATCTTGCCCGACAATTCTTTTTCAGAAAAAGAAAAATTTAAAAGTGAAAGTAGAGAGATAAATCTAGTGTGTTTAAAGGTAGATCCCTAATTGCAGAAAGCAGAGGGGTTACTTCTCCATCTGGATTAGGGGAAAAACAGATGAAAGGTGATTCAGTTTCTACTGAATTTATTTTGTAAGAAAAGAGCCGGGGAGATTTATGAGCATTTAAAGACAGATCAACCTGGTTCTTCAGGCACAGAATTTGAAGATTTTATGGCCAGCAAAGGGGCTGGTTCGAAAAATTTAAGAAAAAGTGTCGCCAATTTAGTGTGATTAGGCATGGGTAGGGCTGCTAGTGCTTTGATGAGAGGAGTGTATAAAGTTCTTGATGGAGTTTAAGAACTGGTGGATGAAGAATTATCTTCCACAGCAAGTGTTCAATGTGGACAGAAACTGAGCTATTTTTGGAAAAAGATGCCCAAGAACATTCATCACCAGAGATGAAGCTTCTTTACCTGGGCATAAACCCATGAAAGACCATCTCACTCTATTGTAGTGTAATCTAATGCTTCAGGGGATTTTCTGACTGAAGCCTATATGTATCTACCACTCTGAAAACCCCAGAGTGTTCAAACAACAAAAATTAGTAGAGAAAGCTTGGAGGTTTATTGAAGTCCAACCCGTGAGGCATGGGTGACAAGACAGCTCTTTAATGAATGGGCTGTTGGTGTTTTGCCCTTCTGTCAAGAAATACCTAACCACCAATAAACTCCTTTAAGGCTCTTCTCCTCATGGTTAAATACCCCTGGTCGCAGCCTTCAACTTACCAGAACTTTGGAGTATCAATTTGACTTTGTGAAAGTGTGTTTTGCCTCAAACGACATCAATCATACAGCCAATGGACCAGAATGTGATCAGCAACTTCAAGAAGTTGTACATGAAGAAAATGTTCAGGAGGTGTTATCAGGCAACTTCCACTGATCCTGAACTAACACTGGCACAGTTCTGGAAGACACAATTTAACATCCTGGAGGCTGTAAAATTGATTGTGTCATCATGGCAAGAAGTCTCCACTAGATCCCTCAATTCTTCATGGAAAGCACTGTGGCCATCAGTAGTCCATGATTTTGAGGGATTTGAGGAAGAAGCAGAGTTGGACCAGGAGATTGTGTCCATTGGTCAGTCATTGGGCCTTGAAGTGGAGGAGGTTGATGTGGAAGAGCTTGTGATGTCCCATGAGGAGGAACTACTCCTGAAGACTTGAAGCAACTAGATGCAATGTTAGAGGCTGACAATGGTCAGGAGGAAAAGGAAAGTGATGACCATATGTCAACTTCAGAGTTGAAAGATGTTATTTACCACTGGGAGAAGTTCAGGAAACTGGCTTCAATGCACCCAGATGTGGAAAAATCTGAACTAACTTTGTGTCATGTTGAGGACACAATGATCTTTAAACATGAGTTAATGATGAGGAGAGATGCCCCCACAGACCAAAATTGACACTTTCTTCAGTAAAAGGCAGAGGGAACAAGATGCTAGCCCTCAGCCTTCCACTTCAAGAAGGAGAGAGGATGTTCATGGTGGAGAATCTGTCAGTCCAGAGGTTCCTGACATTTTCATGGAAGGTGACTCACCTTCCAAGAAGCAGTAAAATGCTTCTCCTCCACCTCCACTTCCTTCTCTTCTCCCTTCTCCTCCTCCACCTCCCACTTCAAATTCACATCAGCATCATCATCCAGGAGCCTTCTACATACACACCTCAAAATAAGTGTACTTTACTCCCTTTTTTGTTGAATTTAGGCAATTTTTGGTGAGCTGGAACCAATTACCCAAAAACCCATTGAAACAATGGTTTTGGTTAACGAGCTTTTCGGTTAACGAGCAACCTTCTGGAACAAATTGTGCTCGTTAACCGAGGGACCACTGTATATATATAGTGATTTAAGGGCGATTTAGGGGAATTTTAGGAGTGTTTCTAACTTTATGCATTTTTGGCTTTACTTTGTATATACTTTTGTGTGAGCTGGAACCAATTACCCAATATCACAATGAAACAATGGTTTCGGTTAACGAACGACCTTCTGGAACGATTTGAGTTCGTTAACCGAGGGACCACTGTATAAAGTGACAATGGATTAAAAAAATATATATATTTTTACCGAAATATGCCCATGTGGGGGTTTGGTAGGTCTTACAACACCTGGGTTCTAAGGGTAAAGGGAAACTTTACTGAATGCCCATTAGACAATGGTGGACTGTGATGGGAGCTTACTGGTATGGAACTCATATTGTGGACCTCAATCTATACTTTTGAGAGTATCAAATTTACTAAATGACAAGTATTCCAAATGTAAGGAGATAAAAAAGTAAGGAGCAAGAAAAACAACAGAACTGATCTGCTTGAATGACAATGTGAGTAGTACAGTAAAAGTCCAAAAATCCGGATGCCAGAAATCCGGACCACCCGAGAATCCGGACTTTTCGAAAACTCAAACTTTTTTTTTTTTTTTTTAGCGGGCTTTTGTGTGTATGTGCGCCTGCATGAGCGCCACAGCTGCACAGTGACTACAAGCGACCACGTAGTTGCCACTTTAAAACGAGCAATCAAACTGTGACAACATGTGTAATTTTGAGTCCTACTCTTTCCATGTACAGAGTACAAGGCCATAATAATGGCTCCTAAAGTAGATAAACTTCGTTGTGTGAAGAGAAAGAAGAACACGTTGAAATTGAGTGACAAACTTGAAATAATTAAGAAACTAGAATGTAAGGTGAGCAATGCTGTTCTAATGGAAACATACCACATTGGAAAGTCTACAATTTATGATATAAAAAAGACAAAAAATAAAATTCTAGAATTCACAGCTTTTTCTTTAAAACTGCTCATTTTGAAGCATGCTATATTTGCTAATGAATAAATTATCAAAATGTACCTGTTCATCTCTTCTTTATTCTTCCTTAAATTTGAATTTTAAAAGTACTGCCTGAGAATCCGGAAAATCCGAAAATCCGGACCGACCCAATCCCCAAGCAGTCCGGATTTTTGGACTTCTACTGTACTGGCAAGTTTGATGGAGCAACTGGAACTGAGATGACTGGTATACGTATAAACTTCCTTTAACACTTAAAGATAGCGACCCCAGGTGACGTTTCTCTACATTCTTAATATTCACTGCATAGTTTGAATGCCTAGCCGGGAGGAAATACTTTGTACAGTGTATAGGATATTTATTTACTTGCTAACTTAACTTCCACATAATCTTTGTCTCAAGTTTAGTGGTCCAGTTACCCACCATCTATTATGATGGATGCATGTCCTTCAATGTCTCATGACACACCTAGCTCCTCCACACCCTCGACAGTAGTGCTTTACATCAAGAGTTACTTGAGTGGCATTGATATAGTATTGAGTGAGGAAGACACGGATTGGGAGGAAACAGATCCAGATAATGTACAATTTGTTGAAGTGGCCAGCAGTGAGGACAGTGATACAGACAATGGCACTTACTCCCCCTTCCCACCCTGCCAGCCACCCCCTCAGCGAGGAATTGATCGTTGGCGCCGTTGTGGTCGTCGACGTAGAGGACCACATGCACACTAGCTACAACAGTACACTTGGAGTGATTGCACTAATTTTATGCCTGAAATACCAGTTTTTGACTGCGGATAAAAAAAAATAAATATACGATCTTACATCGCCCGGGGCATAAAGGTTAAAGCCTAGAGGGTTTTGAACTGTCTTAACCTCTACTGTTAGTTTTTATCTTTTACCAGGAGACTTAATGGACTTTGAGTCAACCTACAGATCAAATGGGATTCCAACTCATGAGGTTATCTTGCTTCAACTAGGTGAAAAACATTAACCTTCCTTGTCCATCTAAATTCCAGAGTGTTCCTTGCTATGAAACATCTGTAGACCCTCAAGTATTATGTAGGCTGGCTATACGGATGTTTCTGAGGTATGGATATCGTATACCCAGTGGGTCATAAAATATCAGGGTACAGGAAGGACATTATGTTGTAACTACAAAATACCTAGTTTTTTCCAAACCTTCTTTTGATAAATCTTAAAGATTACCTGAATCCCCTGGAAAGCAGGAATGAAAAACACAGTACTTGGGCCATTCACTGAGCTTGCAATTTCTGATGTCTGTGAAGCTTTTTCATACAAGCCTGCAACAAGAACAATAAATTAAAAATATTCAAAACTTGCAAATGGTTCATGATTTAGAACTCACAATTTCCTATGACAGAAATGACTTCTCATGTTTTGGAAATTGTGTTAAGAGTTACTACAGCAGCTACTCTCCTACAATACCTGGATTTCTCAATTCTAAAACTAAAGGGAGATTCTTTGATAGGGATGCTGCCATTAAAATCAGATGGCTCACTGAGCCTTGAGTTACATACTACATATACCTCTGTATCACATTTCACACCACAGTTTTTACAACTGAAAATGGAGTATCACAAAACTATCCCATTACATTCACTGCTTCCTCTGTCAGCTGTCACACACTACATGGTAGAGTTTCTTAACATTTCTATTTGCTTGTTTACAGAACAAACAAGTAAACCACAGCCCTTGACTAAATGTGTAAATATAGAAGTCTCCTTGGACAGATGCCAGGCTATAAACAACATATTTATGAACAAACAATTATTATAATTATTTTTTTTTACTAAGTACAGTTCCTAGATCAAGAGCAAAATCTCAATTTCTTGTTAACTTACCTATTAGCTGTCCCCATTCAATTACAGTGCCGTTATCATTTGATGAGGCTTCAGCCATGTGTATCAATCCTTCCTCATCTTTCCACCCATGTACAGGATATATCCCTGCAATAAAAAATATAAATTGATAGTAAACATTCTAAAAAAGGTAGATTTTCTTGCAGTTATGTTTAATCTATTATCATACTGGGAATTTTAAAGTTGTACTGAGAACTTGAATACAAAAGAGGTGCAATATACACCCTTATGTGTCTCTGAAAATGACAAAAATTTTAAGTAAATAACAATAACATAACACAAGCTGAATGTATAAACAGATAAGTTCACTGATGACAGCATACCATAAAACTCTTGACATAATTAAGAACAAAATATAGAAAGAAATCTCATCATACACACCTACGTTTCTTGTGAGGGTCAAGTTATCTGGTAACACGTTAATATAGAGAACTGCTAGGATTCCAAAATTATCTATTATTTAAGTATCATTCTTGCATATATGCAGTGGTGGGCACAGCTAAATGAAAGGTAGCTTCGCTAATTGCTAACTAAAAAGTTAACTTCGCTAATGCTTAACAGCTAAAAAAATTAGAGGAAGCTAACGCTAACCGCTAACTTTTATTATATGAATTTAGCTTCGTTTTTTTTTTTACTCTAAAACCCTTGAAAACAGACCTAGAGAACTGTATAGCATGCCAAGATCAGATGATGATCAAGGTGTACACAAATAATTAAATGAACAAATGAAATTAAACATTAGTTTACATTTAAGTTTCAACATACACTATATAATCTTTATTTACTGTACGAAAAGACAGAAAGTATTAAACGAATCCAAAAACTATAGTACTGTATAGCATAGGTAGCAAATAGCATCATGCCAAGATCAGATGATGATTGTAGGATACTCAGGTGGTCCTTACAATCAGGGGTAAAGGAAACACTCTGATGTCAAGTCTGTAAGTTCTATTCCTGGGACAAACACAAAGGAGTTAAGACAGGGGTAAACAGCGTCCTGTCTTGGAATCTCTCTGGGTATCTCTATCTGCACATGCGCGTACAGCGCGCATGTGCCCAAAGTCTGAACTATCACTTGTGACAAAAGGGAGTATGATTATAATACATATAATACAGAGACCTGAATCAATAATGGTAAATAGTACAGAGTTACATATTACAGCCATATTCGTCTCATATATCTACACCTCCCTCCCCCCTCACGCTCGTAGTGCAATCTCGAGCGGACTCTTTTTCCAGGAGCCTTTGAGAGTGACGTGGGAAAACTGGGGGGTCACTGAATGAGGACTTACTTTTCTCGTCCAAGCAAGGGTTCACAGGGATGTGGGGGAGGGGTTCACCACTAGAGGACGGTACTGAACGAAGGAAGCGGCGATTCCGCCACCATACCCGACCACTAGGGAGACGGACCTCGTAATCCCTGGTCTTGCCGCAGCCCATGACAACCCCGACCTTGTCCCAGCGGTGAGACGTCGGGTCTTGAACCCGAACTGTTTGCCCGATACTCAACCTGGGAAGGGGTCGGGCGTGCTGATCGTACTGTGCCTTTACCTGGTCAGCACGGGCGGCTGCACGACGATCGCAGTACTCGGTCTTGGCCTGCCACTCCCTCGAGAAGGACTCAGGATGGGCAGGGACACATGACCGTAGTGGGTGGCCGTATAACATCTGTGCTGGGGAGCGACCTGTGAAGTTGGGGGTATTCTGCAATTCCAATAAACCCCGGTCAAACTTCTCACAGTAAATGTTGCCTGAGGGTGCCGTCTTGAGGATAAGATGCTTGACGGACTTTACGGCAGCCTCGGCATGTCCATTGGAACTGGGGATAATGTGGCGAGGACACCACATGATAAACTCCCCATCGCTCCATGCAGTCCCGGAAGTCGTTGCTGGTGAACTGGGGCCCGCCGTCAGTCCTCAGGCGGAGAGGGACACCAACTTCCAAGAAGTAGCGACAGAACATACGTACTATATGAGAGGCAGTAGTGTTGCCTCCGCAGGGAACGACAACAGGCCACCCTGAAAGCCGGTCGGCGATGACGAGAAAGGACTTTCCCACCACAACGAAGAAATCCGCAGAGACGGACTCAAAGGGCCTCGTAGGGTTGTCGTTGTTCATGAGGGGTTCCTGCTGCTGACTAGGCAGCAGCACCTGGCATGGCTCGCAGACTTGAACGGAACTAGCGATGTCGGAGTCGATGCCTGGCCAAAAAACAGCTTGTCTCGCCCGGCGCTTCGTAGCTTCCACACCCCTGTGGCTGTCGTGCAGGTGGGCTAGGGTGCGGCGGCGGAGGGCGGCAGGAACCACAACTCTTGCTCCATACAAGACGAGGTCGCCATCAGCATAGAGGCCATCCTGCATCTTCCAGTATGGGAGTAAAGAGCTGTGTAAGTCGTACCGGTTGGAGGGAAATCCCGAGGTCACGCAGTTCAGTAGACGGATGTACGAAGGGTCCGCTCTTGCCGCGGCTCGGAGTTCCTGAAGAGTCCTGTCGGCGTCCTGCGGTGGAGACTCTTCTGAGATGACGGCGTTCACGGTCACTACAGTCCTGAGGTGTGCAGTAGCATCAGCACATGCGATCTCGTCCCCTGGTGTGGGGTGGCTGACTGGGGCTCGTGACAAAGCATCAGGGATGCAGAGCAGCTTGCCAGCACGCCACACAGCTGTGAAGAGGTAGGGCGAGATCTTCTCCTTAAGGCGTTGGAGGCGGGGATTCTCGACCGCATCCAAGGAGTAGTGGTTCAGGATCGGGATGAGTGGCCGATGATCCGTCATGAGGTTGAAGTGTTGTAGGCCGATCAGATACAACCTACATTTGGACATGGCCCAGACGGCGGCTAACAGCTCCAGTTCGATGGTGGCGTAGCGAGTCTCGGCGTCAGTGAGAAACCGAGAGCCACACTGAACCAGACGAAGGCGTCCATTGCCGTGGTCCTGTAGCAGAGCGTATCCAATCCCGTAGAGGCGAGAGGCATCAGTCTGGAGGACAACTGGCAGGGCCGGGTCGGAGGAAGCGAGAACAGGTGGGCTAAGGAGAGCTGTCTTGACGCGACGGAATGCCTCATCATGGTCAGCTGTCCAGGTGAATGTTCTCTTGGTGCTCATCGGGGGGCGTAGGGGCTGTGCTGCAGCGGCGATGTCGGGGGTGAACTCAGCCAACTGGTTTACCAGACCCATGAACGAGCAGAGGTCGGTCAGGTTGGCAGGAATTGGGAAGTCCCGGATCGCGCTGACCTTTCCAGGATCAGCCAAGATGCCCTTGCCTGAGAGGGTGTACCCACAGAAGTTCACACTAGGTGCGGCGACCACAAACTTATCCTTGTTGAGGGTGATCCCGTACTTGCGGCACCTGGTGAGCATCTGATGAATACGCTCAAGATGCGTGGAGTAATCCTCGTCATATAGGAGCACGTCGTCGATGACCTTGACACAGTTCGCCACACCCTGAAGGGCCATGTCACCACGGAGGCAGAAAGCATCGCCAGTAGCCGCGAAACCCATAGGTCCTCTGCAGTGCTGAAATCGGCCATACGGTGTGATGAACCTCGTGAGGTGCTGATCTTCTTCCGCAAGTTCCATCTGCCAGTACCCACATAAGGCATCTGCTGTAGTAAAGTACCTTGCCTTTGGGTCCACACTGCATATAGCGGTGAAGGGTGTCGGTGAAGGGTGGGTCGGGCGGGAAACTTGGCTATTCAGCTTGGTGAGGTCGACGGTGATACGAACTCCAGTAATGTTCTTGGCGACTGCTACCATGGGGTGACACCAATCCGAGGGGTCGTCACCAGCAGGCTTAATGATCCCCTGGGCTACCATAGAGTCGAGTTCCTTCTTAACTTGGCTCTGGAAAGCGAAGGGTATCTGTCGCGGTGTGTGGATGGCGAAAGGTACTGCGTCATCCTTCAGGTGTATTCTCATGGGGGAGCCAGCCATTGGCTTGAGTGGAGCCGTCTTGAGGTCCTCCTTGGAAACCAGCACGTCCTTGAATTGCAGTAGGAAGAACTCCCTGGCTGCAGGTGACGTATTGGGTGGGAGGGGCAGCTCCTTGCACCTGTTGACATGTTTTATTTCTAGAATTGGCTTAGGGAAGTCTGAAGATATTATGGCCAACTCTTGACAGTGGCCATAAGACAGTAGTGGCATCTGAACACCTTTGTGGACCTGAATCCTGGCAGAACATGACTGCTTACCTAGGGTGAGGGTAGCCTGAAATGTACCCAGAGCAGGTGCCATTGTAGAACCGTCTGCGGTGAGCGTTGTAGAAGTTGACGGTGGTTGCAAGCTGCTCCTAGGGATCCCCAGAATGTCGAGGTGTCTTGTGCCGATGACTGTGACGTCCGCACCTGTGTCAGGAAGCATCTGGATACGGGAAGTAATGTCGCCGTATGACAGGTGAACACAGATGGGCTGAGGTGTCTTGCTGACAGGGGAAGAAGAGGATCCCACGCGACGACAGCGCTTGTTCTTCGCCGCCTGAGACTTGCGAGTAGTATTATTCTTCTTCTTTGACTGACAGCATTTGTCATAGTGTCCAATGCGGCTACAGGAGCGGCACTGAACGTTGTTCGCAGGGCACTTCAGTGTCCTAGCCCAATGACCACGACGTCCACAGTTATTGCAGGTGCTGTCAGCGGCAGGGCATTCAGAACCATGCCGACGAGCACAATACTGGCAGGAATGACCTGGCGTCGAAGTCTGAAGTGATGCTGAAGATTGATGCGAAGCTGAAGTCGGATGTGAAGCTGAAGTCGGATGTGAAGCTGAAGTCCGGTCACGTCCTTTGTTCTTCTTATATGCGGAGATGGCACACAGCTGGTTAGATGGAGCACGAATGGCAGAAGTCGCACTTCTGGTGGCTTCGTAAGAGCGGCAGGTGGTGACAACATCCTGTAGAGAAGAGGCAGTGTCGAGGGAGATAAGCTTCTGAATTAGCTCTTCGTCCCGCACGCCCATGAGGATAATCATCTTCAGCTGTGTTTCCTCACAAGTCAACGAGTTCCCAGGACAAACGTCAACCTCCTCAGCGATGCGTCTGAGTCGTACGTAAAAATCGGCAAACGACTCACCCTCCAGCTGCTTACAACTG